TATATATATATATATATATATGTCTCATTTTCATGTTTAGCTTACACAGACCTAACATTGGACTTAATTTACTTGTTGCAAAATATTGTTTTTAACTTGCATTGTTTCAAAATGAGCTTCATGTAGCAATGACGATTTCTTAATGTAGTATAGTTAATTATTTTTATGTCTTTCATACTCCTGCTAATTGATATCTATTACTGGATTGGACAGCGCCTATTAGTCGCTATGTGATTCATTGAGTTATGTCCAGAAAACCATTTTACCCCAATGCAGGACGAGGAGAAATCTGTCACAAAAATATTCTTAGCGCCATCATTTGTTATCCGATATATCTATTAAATACGACTTAAAATAAAGAGGAGAAAACTGAGGTTTGATCAATTCTCTGTGATACAAGTTTCTGTTAGTTCTTTCAAGATGAAAGAAGGGGCGAATTTCTCTTTTATTGGTCAATCGTTTTATTTTAAATATGCTGTAGGAGCCGTAGTTTCATGATTAGTTCAGTTTTTGTCGCTTGTTTAACTTTTAGGAACTACAGCGGCTGCAGACAGTACGCCACAATAAAGGTACAATAAAGCTGATAAACAGGTGAAGAACCAAACTAGACAGAACCACTTCTATTCCGCCTTTTCTCGCACTGTGTCGGCTTTACGCGGACCCGTTGCCATGGTAACCGACAGATAACAGCTCCACGAGCAGATAGAGCGGAGATTACCGATCAGGGGAATCAACACCAAAAAACAAACATTTCCCACACAAAAAAGTAGCAAAACACCAAAACAGAACATTCAGTCTGTTACATTATGCTGACAGTATAATGTAACAGACTGAATCTTCTGTCTGTTGCTATATATATATATATATATATATATATATATATATATATATACTGGCATATGTTGCCACACCTGAAAAAATCCCTGCCCCCTTTTGCCACCCCATAAATATTTTTCTAGATCCGCCCTGCTGTCAGGTTTGATGTCTATATTGTCATTTTTGATAAGTTTTTGCCTGAGCACAGCAGTGGTTTAAACAGCTGCTCTACTGATGACTTGGTGGGTTGTTTAATGCTAACGGAACCAAAACACACCGAACTGCGCAGCACATGCTAAGGCTATCAAAGTCAATACCAGGCCAGCAGCAGTTAGGCTAGTATAACTGACCCACTGCTCATTTGTTCAATGTTTTCTTTAAGTTAAAACTTTTTCCTCACCTGTTAAATCTGAAGCCCTTGTTATCTAATTCATAGGGTTGAATTAACCGTTAAATATTGGGTCTATTTTTCAGATTCTTTGCGTGGCTGTGGTATTTTCCTGACCACCCATAATGTTGACTCAATCGACAGCAAATGGTGCAGGTGTTGCGCACGATAAGTCATGTAATGTCCAGTCCAGTAATTTATATCCATCAATGCTGCTGGCGCTCTATCCTTCTCTCGCACTTCCCGCAACTTAGCAGTAGGTGTCAGTTTACTTTGTGTTGCATTCAATTTTGTCGGAAAAAAGACAACATTGTCTTTTTTCCGACAACATCGGACATTAAATCGCTTAATGTCTGATTTCCCATAACTATTTACTGAATTCATAGTTGCCAGCTGGGGTGGCAAGGCTCTCATTTGGGGTGGCAACTGCCACCCCATGCCACCCCAGTAGATCCTACAGCATGGATATCCCAAAGAGAGAAAATGAATAAAATGTGTGCAGCTAAGTGTGACTTTTTTTTAACACCTAAACTTCCTGGAACTAGTTTCTGTCCATCTGTGTTTAGATGTCTTCTTTCACTAATCATGTGGGAAGTTCAGAAAGTCTTGTAGTAATTTAGATCTGTAGCATTAAAGTACATCTGATAGTTACAAACTCTGAAGAAAATAGTTTTATACAGTTTGATTCCTCTTTCTCTCCTCATACTAAATATGTCCTCTCTGAGAGGAGATGCAAACTCCTGACAGAAAGAGCCAGGCTGCGATTGGAAACCAGAATACTTAACTAGTCAACATCCTTTTGTGCAACAGTGACCTTAAGCCTCTATGGAAACAGCAGAAAATAGATCTCATGATAAACTCTGAATATTGTCCTTGACAACATTAGTCTCAGAAAAAAAAATCTTATTTCTCTTATTTCTCTTCTTCAGACAGATCAATTAAACCAATAATCATAGTCATTTATGGCTACTTTTATAACAGTTTTTCAATGCAAAACTAGATAAATTAAAGTGAAAGTAACTAAATGCTGTAGAAATGTGTCTAACTTCAATCTTTCTCACACCTATAACAACCTTATTACCGATTTGTAGCCACCAATAGCATCATTTATACCAAGCTTTGTCATTTAGACGTCAAAGGAAAACTGTTTATCTGATATTCAGATTATCTTCTTGTCAATTGAGCTTCAATCTGGATGAATGTCACAGATAATGTATTTTTTTTTTAACTTTTGGTTGAAACTAAGCTGCAGTCTGATGGAAGTGAACAAGCATCACTAAGTGGCTACAGCTGTTTTTGAGTCGCCCCTCCTTCTTGTGCTTGAATTTATTGCTTTGTGCTCAACAAGATGATACCAGTAATCTCAAAAAGTCAGACTGACAGTTAATTTCACAAATCAATATTTACAATTTACTTCTTTCAGAGTTTATTCTTGGAGAGGGCTCCACATTATCCACCTCCCAAATAAGCTGATCATATCTCCATCGTGCCTGGAATGAGTTTCCTCCCCAAAATGTGTCATTCCCCCCCCCCCCACACACACTCTCTCTCTCTCCCCTGGAAATCAATGTCTGCGTTTGTGTGCACTTTAATCTGACCTCTGATGACAGTAAATCTTTATCTGTTTCTGGACGAGCAGCAGCAAGCGCCTGACAACATTTGCCATCAGAACAAAGAAGCGAGCCTTTGTGGACTCTGGGAGATACCCGGAGCTGTAATGTTTCAGCTGAGCCATTAATCACAATGGCTGACAGCCGGACCTTCCCAGCTTCTCTTCATCGCCACAGCTTGGATGAAGAGAAGCTGCTTTCCAGGAACAGGAAGATGGAAGCCGTAGTTCCACTATCAACTAGAGACATTTTGGATGTAACACCTTGTTAAGAAAATAAATTTAAAGTATGCTAGTTTTAAAACCTAACATGTCTTTATTGAAATAGCCTAATTATAGTTTTAAAATCAGTAACTTATTCTGGCCTATTGACCTTTATGTTACTTGTAGTTACAGCAGATGGTTTGGTAAGATCTTTTGAACTGCCTTTTGTCTGTGTGGGAAACAATCAGGAGAAGTTCCAGCTTTTCACACTCATCTGTGAAAAGCCATAAAACAGCAGGAGTTCCTGGCTTTAGAGAGGGTCAGAGATGGCTCCTGGTTGGATGAGCAAAGATACGCCTTATTTTAATAAATTAAAGACAAGAATACGCCTTTACTATAAAAGTTTCTACACAGGAGTAAAAAATTAGATTTCTCCAAAGACGTCTTTGCTTTTCTTTCTTTTGTTCCTTCTTCTTCCCATTTATGTCAGGTAAATGAATGTATGTCTCTGTTGTTCTGCAGTTTCTGTTGTAATTTTATGCGTTGTCTTCTATTGGATTAAACTGCAATTCTGTGATGTCTGCACTCATTATTGTTTTTGTGTGGCTACACGCGGCCCGCCGGGAGAACCTGGGATCGAAGGAGATCGAGCCAAAAGAGCTTTCTTAAGAAATATTATAACCTAGAATCTTCTTCAACAACTTCAAACAGAAATGTTAAGATAAAAAACACTAGTCACTGTCAAAACCTAAAAAAGGTAAATAAAACATTTTACAATTATACTGCTTAAAATTTAGAATATAAAGATATTAATGTGCTTTTATCAGATGGTACAGAAATGACCTAAAACTTGTGTTTTAGACAAAGTACAACTGATTTAAGACTAGAAAACTTCTGAAGAAATTAAAATGGGGCCTGGCAAGATGTGCCTGTTGGTTGGAACCCAGTGTTCTGATGCTAAAAGTTAGCATCATTGCTAAATTTAGCTAAATTGTAGTTAATAGCCTGTGGAAACTCACAAGCATGTTGACTAACATAGACTTATCCCATTCAGTATGTTAAAATTAGTGTGAGCTAAAATTAGCCAATATGCTAATGTTAGCCTACGTGCTGCCAGTGGCATATGGGGTATCATTAGCATGTCATCTTACATTGACTTCCTATATTCAGTGTGCTAAACATGGCTAACAAGTAAGAAAAATAGCTGAAAGCTTATTTAGGGAAAAGGCTAATGCTAGTGCACTGCTAATGTTTGTGCTAATATTAATGCACCAGTGCACTAGCCTGAGAGAACAAGATAGTAAAGGCTAAGGTGGTGCACTAACTTAATATGTATATTGAGACTTTTATTTTCAAATTTTCAGTAAGCTTGATTTTCAATGGCTACACTAATCCCATGTGTAACAGTTGTTGGGTTAAATCAATTATATAATGCCCAAAACAGCAGGTAGTTCTGAATGCCATCCTCGCAAGTCAGTCGCTGCCCCTCCCTATCCATTGTGATGGCAAGCCCCAATTGTTCTTCTTTATTAGGCAAAAACACCATTCTAACAGCCAAGTTTAATCTAGAGATCATTATTATTTCAGAGATTTTCTATGTTATTAATCTAATTTGAATAGATCATTTCAATAATTTGTATAGTAATATTTCTCCAGCAAAATAACCAACTATATTTTTGTAATGGAACACAAAGAGGCATTTCTGTGATTTGGACAGAAATGGCTGGGATCTGATACACAGTAATGTGTTTTTTTCCCCTGGCAAAGTTTTATGTAGTTTTGGCATAGAGGCTGTAGGAAGAGCATTGAAAACCTTTTGGGTCTTGTGTTAGTTAAACCAAAAGAAATTTTATGCACAAGGCCTACTGCCATCAGCCCCCTAATTCCAAAATTCACCCATCATTCAACAATCCCAGGAGTGATTTAGTCCCAAGTCTGGTCATCCAAGTTTTAGCAACCTTCCTTCTATTACTTACGGTCCAGGAAGGATTGTGCTCCAGAACCCAACTATGTACAATAAAATGTTGAATAAATAAAATGTGTGGTTTCCTCACCTTTTTGTGCAAGACATGTTGTCTATGCAAAGTAGTTGCTGTGTCACCCTCAAACCTTACTTGACAGATTTGACACATTATTAAATAAACACAATTTTGTATTTTTGGATCATCCCTTATAGGGACATGATACACAATTTATGTTAAAGTGCTCAGCAACCATTTCTGGTACCCAAGAAATTGCCCATGGCCAATAGTGCTAGGCCCGTGGTTTTATCTGACCTTTGCATGCACACAGATGGTCTTTGAGGTTTTTGTTCCTCCTGAAAGCAGCAATGATCTTCCTATTCATCAGCCTTCCACTAACAGGAACAGGAAGTTCTGCCAGAGACCTTTAATCAAATCAATATTATCAGGTGATAAAAGGAAATGCCAGACACTCATCAGTTGATTTGGTTTCAGAAAATGCACCCCATGGTGGAAAAAGCAGCAAACAGCACCGTATCTGCTTCATAAAAAGCTGATTCTTGTCTCTAAATTATTTTAAACCACAATAATTGTGATTTGACTAATCTAGCAAATATGTGCTATAGATCAAATCTTGATGTCAATAATGTGTGTATCAGTTTGTTTGAAATAAACTTTGATGTCCAATTGGTGTGTACAGCAGAAATTTGGATCTTTAATGTTGTGGTTTCCAAGAAATCCACTGCTGTAAGGCTGGTGGATGACTTTAATTTGATGACAGCATTGTGGTTGCTTAGGGTGTGTAAGGGATGATTAAACTGCTCCTCTCAATACTATTCCTATACCCCAAATGTCATCAAAATACTTGAAATAATCCAAAGGATTATGACAGACAGTGCACATGCACTGACGAAAGTCAATTTTGTATTTTGTTTTTTAGTACCGTTTTTATTAATTTTTTCTACATAAGTCACAGCTCAGCTTTAAATTTCATCTCTGAGAATCTGTTGGATGAAGGGGTTTTATCCTAATGCTGTTCTGAAGGCTGGAATTTGATTTTAAATGTCCACTCTTTGAACCATGTTCTATTTAATTTTTTTCTCTCCAAACTCAGTTTTTAAGACAGAACTCACAGTTCAGCTTCTAATCTAATCTGAGCTTCTGCTAGGAGCTAGAAATGTGTGTTAACACTGTTCTAAACATCAGAAATGCACTTTAAAATGTCCATCAGCATTACCCAGAATGCATTGCATGGTGGGGCTTCAGATTTTAGCTTCTATTTCAGCTGTTTTTGGTCGCCATCACTAACAAACTATATACCGTTGTGATCAGCATAACCCCCTCTTTCAAACTAGATGGCTGAGAATGAGTTTTGAGACATGTAGAAAATCAGCACCATGACTCAGAATGGGGTGTGCTATGTTGAACTGCTGCCTGCTGCAAGTTTGATCACGAGTCTCCCCTGCTGGCAGGATTGGGTAAGTCTTTGCACTGTTAATGTGGTCATGCACCCTTCTTGGACCACATATGAGCATTCTAGAGGTCTTGCGGTGTATGATGGCACTAGAATTGCTCTTTGATCTTATTTCAGGGATGATGATTTGAACCCCAACAAGTGTCTGGAGACCTGAACGGCAGCAGCTTGCTGTGGATGGTTCAGGTTGGGCGATGACACCTTGCTATAGCTGCTTTTGGTCATCCATCTGGGGGGCAGGGCAATCAATGCAGACCAGACTCACAGAATCAACGGAGAACGCTTCTGCTTCCTGGGCATGCTAGTTCCACCTTGCGGTGTTAACGGATAGCGTGTTTTTGAAACCAGGGGCATGGTACGTATCAGCCTTCCCAGGTTCCGCCTATAGGAACAGCACGTGGGAAAGGTGACTCTAGGACTCAGGAGTCTTAAATGCAGTCCAGTCTTCTATGACGAATAGCCTCACACAGCAACATGCATGCTGACTGGTATTCTGTCTTCGATTCTACAGCTCCACCACTTCTAACTGCAAAAGGAATGAATGTTAATCTCAGGAAATCTTCAGTTTAAAGGTCTGCTAAACAACTTAAACCTCTTAAGACCTGAGCTCTTTTATTATTAAATCCGTCTTCATTTTTGCAATCATTAGGTCCCAATCAGCCCAAATATAAAATTATTTTTACATGATGTAGTTGCTGAGAAATTGTCCACATATGATGACATTCATTTTAAATTTCAATGACATTGTCACAATTGATTAATGAAATCCAAAACCTTTAGTGTCTGTTCACATTAGCATGATTTCTGAGTTCAGAAATAAAATTATACAGTATTTGTGACTGTTTCAGCAATGTTGCTCATTCAAAGTACTACTAACAAGTATGGGAAGACATGGGTCCCTAAAAAGTAAAATCCCTCAAAGTAAATTGCATTGCTGCTCTTCTAAACTGTTAATTTCAATTTCTGAATACGTTATGACACTTGAAACACTTAATTCACAGTCCAAATCTACTTCAAACTATTGGGGTTAAAAATTGGATCATGGTTACACTTATGTGTAAACAGCTTTGTAACAATTGCAATTTGCCTGTAAGCAGAGCACCTTGCAAATAAAACTGCACTCAATTTTTTCTGGTGTGCTTTTACACTCCATTGCATTTTTCAAGTTTGCCACCTTTGGTATATGGGCATTAGCTGTTCTGTGGACTGAGACATGGAGCAATGCCTTAACTGGGTGCTTTTTCCATTGGAATAAAATGTCTAGGTTCAATTCCCACTCTCAAAAGTCAGTTATCAAGTTAAGCCAAGACAATTTTTGCTACTTCCATGCAAAACTGCATGATGCTCTTCTTGGTGTGCCACACAGAGGTCTTTGCAGTACAATAGCCAGCTATTTTCCAAAGCCAAATCTGTAATTGGTACCCTCAAAGTCCATTTCTTGCCACTTGTGTGGTTGCAACTCATCATAAGGTCAGTTACACCCATCTTGGAGTTTGATATATGGACAATAATTGGTTGTGATATGGTCACTTATTTCAGTTTGACATCTTTGTTAGGTGTCTTCTGGCTCTCTTGGATGAACAGTAGACATAAATGGTAGCACATTACAATACCATTTCACCATGTAAATATATCGATATATTTGTGTGGAAGCTCCCCCAACCCTTTAGTTGGTAGCTTCATCAAACTGATTCTTATTACACTAATAACCTACATCTATTTTATTGTAATGCATTCCTCACATTTGGTAGATGTAAAGATCCAATCTCATTAAACTTGCTGCAGAGTCTGAGACGGATGACCGATCACCAAGCCTTCCAAACTCTGATTCTAGATCTTCAACCTTTGGGAATCTTACCCATTTAATCCCAGTAGCCCCATCTCTTCTCAGACTAATGCTCTGAAAATATTCCCTGTAAAAATCTTTGTAGATTTATCTATGAAACATGCTATAGCTGTTGTACAAGAGTGAACTACTAAAACCAACCCAAAATCTAATTTCATTCTCACATTTTTTGACATTTCTAATACCCTAACATTTTCTACAAAACTAATTCTCAGTGATCATAACTGGACATTATTGGAAATAGTTTAATTATGCTATTTTTAATTCCAGCTTTAACTTTAACTCATGTTGAAATACTAGATGGATCCTGATTCTATTAAATTAGATCTCAATTTAGGTTAGATTTACTCATAGTTTAACCCTCTTAAGACCATCATTGTAAATGGGCCGCCTGTTTTTATTTTATAGTTGTCAAATTCTCAAAATGTGCAATAAGTCTGAATTTTTGCTTTTTTTCCCAGAACAACCTCAGCTTTCAGTATTTCATAGTTATTTAACATTTGTCTATTAAAAATTTAAAAGTTTAAAGAGAAAAAAATCAGAATTGAAATTTTCAGGTTTATTACTTAAACTTTCAAATGACGGGGATAAACAATTTAAGATTAACAATTTCAACTTTCAACTATATTACATAAATGCAGAGAAAACTGAAGCCTGGCCTCCAATGTACAAGTTTTTATGCCTGTTTTTATAAAAAATAATTTCAGGCATTTTCATTTTTGTGGTAGGCTCTAAAGCAGTTCCCCTCCAGCTGCAGACAGAATCCCATTCTGGATCCACCCATACTTTATCTGTAATACTTCAGGTTGAGAGGTGCTGGTACCCATCTCCAGTGGTCAAGAGCAAGAGGCAGGGGACACACTAGACAGGTCACCAATCCCTCACTTGGCTGATTTATTTTTTCTCACAATGAATCTTTTGGCAGAAAAATTGGTCTTTTTTTGTTGCCAAAATCACTTTAAGTTAAAATATTACATAGGCCATTATTTTTGGAAGACCATTATTTTATTTTCAACATAGTTATTGCACAAATTATGCAGGAATCAAGATGGAGCTAACAGTTAGCCAATAGCTATGTAGCGTTCATATGACTAACGTTAGCTTGTACAAATATTTTACACAACCTGGTTCACTGGTTATGTCTTATCTTCACTGCCTTCAGTTATCAGCCTTCTGGGACCCTTTATCAGTCTGGATTTTCTTTTAGACATTTCCATAATTTTATGCCTGATTTCAGCTTGTCCTCTGCCTTTTTCTCTCTCTCACCGCTACTCTGCTGATGCAGTATGAAGCTCTGCAGAGAAATTCCTTTACGAAAATATTTACTCTCTGATTATTTTATGAACTTTCTAATACTTTTTGAAGTTTTTTAATGCAACCAACCGTTCAGGAGTTGCGATACAGAGTAGGTTGGGTGACAAATATGACACAACTGAGAATCTTGTCATTGGTCAAGCTCATATCAAACTTTCCCAGGTTGCTACCATAATGCATCATATATGCACTGAAAACACAATATCTCAGCTTTTCTGCACTTTTGGAATTTTTTTGATGAACTGTTCAGAAATTATGGTAATGGGAAGTACACAAGCCGAATCCTGTCGGCGCTGACAGGTTGGTTGTAAGAGGGTTAATCAATGTATAACTTAATAAGCAGAACACTTGTAATCATCCCAATTTCATTAAAATTAATTTGATCATTAACATTTTAGTAGATCACATTCTTAAGAGTATTTTATATATTCATCTAAACATGTTTAACTTCATTATAACCAAAGTAGAAAACTAATCAGACAATAGTGTAACAGGTGTTTTGGTATTGAAACTGCTCATGTCTCTTATAAGAGCTTGAAAATATTCTATGAACCATGTGCTAATTTTTATTCAGTAAAATTTTTGAGAATGAAAACATCTATTGTTCCTGCCTTGGGAAAATGCAGGGAGGATTAGATGGCAATGAATTCATCCTTGGCCTTGGTAACACCTGCATGGTCTCTGGTGTGCAAACAGCAACATGTCATTACAGGCTGTTTCAGATCAACTCTAAACTGGATTAGAACGCACCAAAAAGTAGAAACACCTTTATAAAGTTATTTAGCAAACAGCTAGTCAGATCACTGGGGTGGAACTGTCTTAACTACCATGCAGTGGTTTCTAAAGGGTCAGATTTTTGTATTTTGTTAAGAATTTCATTTTTTGGCTTTGGTTTCTGATAATGTTGAGATGCTGTGATTTAATGCACTTTATTCTTTGAATAAAATTCTTAATGATTTTTAAGTTGAATAATGACTCTTCTTTATGGTTTCACTTTTACACACATGACATTAACTGACCTCGGTAGATGAGATAAGAAGCAACAGGTAGTAAAAATTTGTCATCTCTCCATCTTCAACAAAATGTAACTAAGTACTTATATCCACATTGGCAAATAATTTTAGGAAGCATAGTAAATGATTATTAAAATATAGTTACAGTTTGTAAGATGTTATTATGTCAAATACTTATTACTTTACCTATCTAAAAACAAAGAGCAATAAAATAGAATCTTTTTACCAGAAATATAGTTTAGATCAGATGCTTTCATGTGAACTTTGGGGTCTGTCATCAGGAATTTTTTGCTGTAACCTGTAGTTTGTTATACTATACCACTAAAATGTTGCAGTAAAATTTCCTCAAACTGTGGATGTGAAGTTAGGAGGACAACTTCCACATCAATTTGCACTTTGTCCCTTTAATTTGATAAAATGCAAGCTCATGGTTTTAAGACATGGGGAAATAGGATCAGCCAACTTTTTGAGTGTCATGATGCAAGACTTAAATCTTAATCTACCCTAATCTTCACATTATAAAAGACTGAATTTTCACATTGTCAGTGCACACATTTAAACATGTCAATACAAAAATATTGATATGAATGTATTTCACTATTTTTAAGGAATAGTCCAACTGGGGAAAACCTAACTTAGGGGTTTTTTGAACTTAGGGGTTTTTTGAACTTAGGGGTTTTTTGAACTTAGGGGTTTTTTGAACTTAGGGGTTTTTTGAACTTAGGGGTTTTTTG